TCCAATACTACGTACAGTGGTTGCCGGTAAAACCCGGCCAGTGCAACTTTTGCCCATGACTTGAAAATACTATGTTCAGTGGTATGGCGCACAATCAAAATATAATGAAAATCACTTCGTGCAACTCCGTGAAGACGACATGTATTGGCTAAAACTAAAGTCAGTGAGTCCGGATAATGCGCGTCGCACGCGTCGCAAAACCGGATAACGCGCATATTCGAGTGTCCGCAACAATCTCACACAATACATGACCATCAAATTGTTATGAATTAAATCTCAAGTACTGATGGGATCGCTTTATCAAAGGCTTTCACAATCGTGTCTGTCGAAATACGATCCCAGACCTTAATCGTCCGTTTCACTGTGGCCAAACGCTTCTCTTGTGCCGTCAAGATGTCGCCGTTGCGTTCGTCGTCTTCTAGCAACCACGCTGTCTTCAGCATGGCCTTCAAAGGACCCATCACGCCGACATCAAGCGGCTGACACCGGCTGGTCGAGTTGGGTGGCAGTGGCTCCAGAACACTGAACATCGTCTCGCGCTGGCCATTTGTGTATCGCGTCTGTTTTCCCTTGGTTGTGCTCATTTGGAAATGCGTGCTGGACTTGCTGACAGATTTGAAAAGCGTCATTTGTAGATTTGAATCGAGCCAATTAGAGGCAAGCGACTTTGTGATTGGTTATCGAATATTCCCATGAAGTTATCCAATCAAAACACAGAATCATACATCCCTACTTTTGGTTATTTATTTAAATTTTGGAGAGTTGTCCTGGCCGGGTTTTACCAGCAACCACTGTAGTACTATGTAACGTTACCGTATTCCGATGGGTGATGCCACTGTCAGTTCAGCCTTTCAAAGAATGAAGCACTTTTTTGCCTATCATGTTTCTATCATCATGGCTGCATTGTCATAACGTCATCGCATGCAATGGATCCGTGCGCACCAATTCCACCAACGACGTTGTGTGAGGAGTCGACCTGTGCGCTTGGTACTAACGTTACTACATAGTAGTAAGCTACACGAGTACGAAACGTTGTTCACGAGTGGACTGTGGAGCTTTGCTCACGTGATTATGTAGCTATGTCAGCTGCATGCTCAACTCCTCGATAACGTCATGCACAGCCAACCAACAAAGATTTGTCAAGTGACATCACGTGTTCTTCTGTACGTTGGTTGTTTCCAAGTCGGGTCTTATCCTTCCATGACGACGACAACAAGTACAAACTGTCGCAATCACGTCACCACCACACACAACTCCTGGACATGTCAGTTGTCCTTGTACGTGCTCATTCGAATGGGGTGGCCGTCCACGACGAGCGAGTACGTGTAATACTGCACAGCTGACGAGAAGAACGCGGCGCCGCCTTCCAGGACGATGGACACTTGAAACGTGTGCCCGGCCGCCGCGACCTCGATCGTGTCGCCCGAGTCCCACAGCAATCTGGACTGGGCCATCACATTGCCGTTGCAGAACACGGCGCGAAAGCCGCCGTGGAGTCCGTGCTGCAACTCGACCACTACGACCGATTTGTCTGGGAACGACACGTGCCACCACAGTTGCTTCCACGGAAACGTGAGGAGGATGGCGTTGGCAGGGTGCTTGATCTCTTCCAGCACCACGGGGATCACCGCCGTCTCGGTGGCCACATATCCGTGCCGCACAAGCGGAATCGAGTCCACGCCTAGCGACGAGCTGCTCAGGGTGTTGCGGTCGGCAAACAGTTCGTTTTGAGCGGTGGTTTCAACCGCCAAGATGTCTACCATTGGTTGAGCTGTTTGATCCGTACGGATATATGGAGCACACCTCGATTCCCGCCTTCGTCAGGCACTTTAAACCACGACCGGTTCGGATACCCCACCGCCACCCAACTCGGGGGGTTTATGCACAGTTGGTACATGGATTCTACAATTGCATCAACCGTTGAGAGCGAGTATTTTGCAGCATCGTTGAACCTGAGATCCGCTCCACAGTGACCTTGCTCGCACTCGGCCTGTCGAGCGCCACCCATCCCTTGTCCTTGACCGCAGCGTACACTACATCCGACTCTGGCAAACTGAACTGCAGCGCCCCGCAAAACACCTACACCCCTAGTATTACTAGTAGGACATACTACCAGTACTACCGTGTGTTCATCCAAGTGTTTGAGCACGGCACTGCTTGGTTCGGGCGACACGAGCACGCGGAGCTTGGCCCTTGCTCGATAAAAGAACTTGCCGTGCTGTTTTGCCGGTTCTAAACAAGCCCGATACAGGAAGTAGAACTAGTAATACTACTAGTACCTTTGGTCAACGTGTCGAGAATGCAGTCGCCGGCCAACGTGGTTTCGTAGATCCAGCCAGGTTCGTGGGCCAATTTCACATATGTCATGGTCGACTCGGGCGGAGTGTACCTGGCATGAGGTAGAGTGGTCGGTCATGCATGGTCACTGAACTGATGACTACTAGGTAGTGTACCGTAAACTGCTTTCGACGATCGAATGGACTTGTTTGGGAAAACTCCCCTGCAACCGCGGTCCGTCCACGTCGGGCGCGGCGAGCACCGGCACGGTCAACTTGACTTTGTAAAACTTTGGGTTTTCGACCGTCGTCGCGTCTACAACGTGACGTCACCCCTACTACTAGTAGTACTAGTACTAGTACTAGAACGCACCGCCTTCAATCGGGTCAACGAGCTTGTCGAGGCCGTCGCGACTCGTCTCAGACACCCATCCTGGGGCATGGCGTAATTTGAGAAATACCCACGTGTTTGAGCAACTTGCTCCCGTCGGCACTTGAATTTGAAGCCGTTCGCGGCACTCGACGAGGTTGGCTCGCGTGCCAATCACAGGACTCTCAAACGTCGGACCACTATACACCTACAGTATGCAAAAGGCCACCACCAGGCGGTCCTCCGTGTCATACATATAGCCTCATTCCTATCTTTAGGTAGCATGCAGCTTGTACGTTAATGGAAGTGTGCAGCACGCGGTAGAAGGCGCGTGAAATATCGCGTTGGATCTGACTGCGCAGCGGTGCCAACACGACCTACACTCGAAAGAGTAAACAACATTCACGACTCAAAAGGGCAAGTTGCCCTTGTTGTGGGAGTCCGTCGTACTTGGCCATCCATGGTGGACTCAAACACCCATCCCCGTTCATGCTGGAGCTTGACATACGTAATGGGCGAACTCTGCGGCGTAAAGCGCTGCGACCCTTCCACGATCGTGTTGATGTGGAACCCTTTACCCACCCGAGGACTCATGATGTCTGGGAACTCGCGGATGCCCACCGCAATGTGCACGCAGTAGAAGAAGTGGCCCCGCTCCAATACACCTACGAACGACCCAACAACTCATGTTTTGAGACAAGAGAGAGGGATCGTACCGGATTTGCCGGCTATGACCGCGACGGTGCTGGACGGCTCGACCAACGGGTGGCTGGGTGTCGGCGAGGGGGTGAATGACGTCGTTCGTTCGAGCAGCTTGCGACCGCTCGGGAGCTGGATGCTCAGCCACCCCATGGGATGCACCTCCACGAACGAGGTCGAGCTCCGTGGGAATGTGACGATGCGCGACACTTCGACGACGTCGCACGGCTCCTTTGTTTCCACGGGTAGCAGCTTGGGCGCAAATGCATCGGGACCTAATGCACGCTTTCGTATGACAAATACAACGAACGGTTGACGCACCGCTCTTGAGCTGTAGCGGCACCAGCGCTCGAAACAAGAAGAGCGAATTTGGCGGCGGTAGTTCTTCGGTCCAATCGGTTTCGGGCAAGAGCTCCATGTTCATGGTACCGTCTGATGACGTTTCCAGAGGCACCCAGCCTTCTGCATACGCGAGCTTGAGGTACGTGATGTCATCCGCCTTGTCGGTCGGAGGCTGCCGACGTGCAGCTTTTGACGGAGACACCGGCATGGACAACGCCCGATGGCCTTCGTCGACGACTTCGACGACTTCGCCTGGTAGTTTCTTTGCATGATCTATCCATTGGCCTGGCTTTGGCACGCTGGCTATGCGCACTTCAGTCGTCACGATGTAAAACTTGCGACTCGACCGCCCCATGTCCGTCGTCACACGGCCGCTTTATTCTCAAATTAGTACGTACTTTATCCGCTATCCGGATAAGCGCGGCAAACGTCCGGAGGCTTTAAGTGCGCATCGAACATCAAGACACCTTTTAACATTCAAAGAGGGCAATGGACACTAGATGTGAGTGGATGCGCTCCGCTAGCTCCAACGCCGTTTCGCTCGACGACTTTGTCTTGATCTCGGTGTTGCATCTGTACTCGAGCAATGTCTCGGCGGCCCGCACTTGATCTGTCAACGCCGCTATATGGTCATCGCCACATCATCAAAGAACACACTACACGGAGGCGGTGGTGTGTACAGTAAGTACCATAATGCAATGCTGTCATGCCTGTCAACCAAGGCACAACGTCAGAACTATCGTCCTCAAACGAATGGAAGCATCACATCTGCTAGCGTATTGTACCTTCGTTCTACGCACACACAAGAGTGTTTGACAATCAGTGAGGTGGTGCTACATTGTCGTGACTGGTTTCTGCGCTTGTGTACGTACATCGCGGTCGTCAATGTCGGCTCCGTTGTCCAAGAGTAGCCGCACAATGCTGGGGTACCCTTCGCCCGCCGCCTACACCGCCCATCCCCATGAATCTCCATCGTGCTTCATTCCTGTCCTTTTACCAGCATCAACGGCGTTGTGCCTATTTTCTACCACGTGCCCTCCATGAGGTGCCGCTTCCATATGACAAGTCATCAACACGTACATCTCGTCGATTCACAGTCACGTACGGAGTAGGCGCGTACTTGAGCAACAAGGCCACGATGTGCTTGCGTTTGCCCATGACAGCGTAATGGATCGGCGTCCACCGCATGTCCATCTGCACACTCGATATACATCAGTCGTGCAATGTATCATCCGAAGGGAGTCATTACGTCCGGCTCGTCCACGGAGCAGTCTTCCTTGATCAAGGCCAACACGGCGCCGTTTGCGCCCTATTCAGATCATCGTGGTCGTGGCTCCATATTCAAGATGTATTAATCGAACCTCATGGCAAGCAAAATGCAACCCATTCCGCCCGTTTTCCTACACCATGCCATGAATTCGGTCGAAGCTATATGGCATGCCGCCGTATATGATTGCCAAGACGGCGGACATACATCTCGAGCATTGGGATCCTGCAATCCTCTATGGACGTCTTGCACCATCTGCACAGCGTCGTCATGGCTGGCTTTGACATGGAAGCGAATGGTTTTGCGATAAGTGACCAGCTTATCCGAGAGGTTATCGCCTTCGAGCTGCCGCAGCACTGGCGCCGCCTTGCCTAGTTTGCGCTGCTGGGCGCGCGAAAGTTGAAAGAACAACTTTGGTTTTGCTTTACTCGGTTCCACGGACGAAGGGTCGGCCATGGATGGGGTCGCCATGGGCGCGGTTGTGGCAGTTACAGTGGCGTTACAACAAGGATAATTTAAATTAAAAGCACAGATCGGAATGGATAAGGACCAGTCTACGGACGGCGAAGTTCGTCCACCGCCTTTCGTTTCGACGGCGCCGACGACTTCTTCTTGGCTAAAGGTGCGGGTGTGTCATGGGATGATCGCGTTGTTCGTCCAGAAGAAACTGGGAGACGTTTGGAAGATTTTGCCTTGGCCTTTGGTCGCCCGCCATTCGGAGAGACGCAGAGGATGCCCATGGCACAACTTAATCCCGTGTTGGCAATGGCAAAATGCGATGAAAATGCAGTTGAAATCATAGGAGGCGTGAGGACGAGGTCGTCGTCTTCGTCGTCCAGGGAGCTAGACAATGGCTGGTTGTCCACCGGAGAAATGTACGTGACGTTGTCGTACGAGGCAGCACTGAGGTGGGACATGTCCTCCATGGTCGACACCGCACGAAAGACAGCGTTGTCGACATGTGGGAAGCAAGAGGTCGACATAGCGGAGCTGTCTATGATGGGTAGACTGTTGACCGCTCCTCCCCATTCCGCTTCGTAGGACGCCATCCGAGCGTCGTACAGGGCCGATTTGACAATTCCGAACTTGAGCCAGTTCTGTTCGAACTCCATGGCTTCAGGAATGAGCTCAGCCGGAACGTGTACGCCGCACTTGGGGGTCCACGTGCGACAGTTGAGTGTCGATGATGCGATGATAGTGTGCATGGTCAAGGCAAATGAAAAATGCAGTGTGGGGATGAATCCGATATCTTTGCAATGATACGATTGGTGCAAATCGATTGGGAGAGTCACACTACCCGCCAATCCAAACCCACGATCGATGCAAAAATTTGATAAGCAAACCTGTCGTTTTATGTGTGACACCACAACATCCGCTTGGCAAAATACGTTCAATCAGACGAAAACACGTTAAATCTGTTGAATAGAACGTTAAATCAGCCGCGAACGAGTTGATTGCTCAACGTTGTTAGCATTTTCTAGCAATACCCGCCGATGATTGGTCGTTGCACAAGAAAGGCAGCGTGGACACCTCGACGATGTGACAGCTCAAAGGCAAAGCGACACACCTGCAGTCGACTGAATTGCGAAGGATTCCTTTCTACCCACGCGCCACACCCATGACAGCAGTGGCAGTGGTCGGCTTCATCTGGCGAGGCAGCGTGCGCCGCCACGTCACGGGAGACAGCCCTCGTTGATTCTAGATATCGTTAGTTCGTGCAACCCCCCAAGACTCATATGCTTACAGTTGACGACAACATCCGCTTCCCCACAATGCTACCATCCGCTGCTCGTTGCGATCTCAGCAAGATCTACCAGTGACAAATGTTTAGCTACTTTGACCATATATGTACTACTAGTACCTGTTGTGTCTTAAACAAGGATGCTTCTTCCGACATAGCTGCCAACGCCTCCTCAGATTGACCACCAAGCGCTGCTTTCCATGACTAACGTGTCCATACCAAGTCCAGTTAGGTGTTCGTTACGCAAACATTCAAACGTACATTCACTTGAGATTGAAATTGCTGTTTGCCCTTCAACGGTGGAGGGGACAGTCGCGTGTGTGCATTCGACTGTGCGGGGTTGCTGCAACCCATTCGTTTCTATCGTATAAAATACATCATAGCAAACTTGGCAAAGTATGTTCATGTCTAGGAATACCACTGCCACCCGTGGTGCCTCTGAGACAGCCGCAGTACAATCCACTTGTCGTGGGTTGTCCCATGCCGAAACATTGAGGCAATGCGCGTCAAACGTGCGTTGTCTCTCGTCGTTCTTGGCTTCGTTTGTATCATTGGCATTTGCACACGATGCTACGAGCGGCCCGCTCTCCGTCAAGTACTGAGCCACGAATCTACAACAAACCCGCTCGAATGATCAACGATTGTACAGACCATTTTGTGTACTCTTTGGGCCACGGAGGTCGAGCTGACGGTTGGCGTTTCATAGCGACGTCGGTGTCGCACACAACCAGTCGCTCCGCCAAGTGGAGGGTCTACTTAGCATGAGATTCATCAAAGCATGGATCATGTTGGTTCGTACACACACTTTGTCCCCGCTGGCGCCCTCGCGCACGTGGCGCAGCTGGTCTCTGGAGTTTCCGAGGTCGATGTTACTGTTGGGCTTCGCGTGCCGCAGTCCATGGTACAGCGTGGTGCTTTGGCAAATGTCGTGCTCGAGGATGCCTCGCATACTGTCGTATCGTTTGCAGGTGCCTGGGTTGCGCAGCGTGGGTCTCCGACTGTGAGAAAGGTCTCTGGGTTGGCCAGTGCCAATCTTGGACGTGATAGTTTCAAAGTCGACTTGTTTGTTGGGAGAAGTTGGGGTCAAACTGCATCGAGGACGGCACGATTGCTTCCACACGGGCATAGCCGTCTTGGGAGGGCCTTGACGAGGATGCAAGATCAGGAATCCTTCGCTGCGACGGCCATCGACAGCAAGCCGTGGCTTTGACGATTGCTGCAAACTTGTGTTTTGGATCCTTGTACAAGAGGTTGCGATATCAAACATACCTCTGGCACGCGGACATTCCACGCCTTCAGCAAGCTGTACTCCATGCGGTGTAAACTGTAGCAGCGACGTCTTCTTGGTTCAACGGTCCAACCCTCAATTTGCGAGCATTGGGAATCAATGGAGATATCCTATTGGCTGTGGTTGAATCTTGAACAGTCGCCAATTTTTGAAACCGTCAAATTCAAATGCACCGGTCAAATAGCAATCGATTGAGTTGCCCATGAATGTATTATTCATAGCATACAGCATTTATTGGATGGACAGGGGGAACTGACTAGTGTACGGCGGGCCAATCGTTGACCATGCCAGCCTGTTGATGTCGAAATTTCAGGACTTTCTACGCACAACAGGTCGGTGTATAATCGGCTTCGGCAGACGCTACATCAGCCGCCAATGCAAGGCCTCGCATTACTGCTTGGTCGTGAGCACTTTGAAGGAATTCCTTGAAGCGACATACACTTGCATCCGATAACATGCACTCGTCCATGCTGCGATTCCATATCCATTCCAGGCATTGTGAACTAATTCGGTGTAGATAGAGGCAAGAACATCTTGCATCCCCCGTCACGAGTGCTGCGTGGTCGATTCTTCTTCATGCCCATCAACGAATGATGTGGCCGTTGCAGACTTTTCTCGCGGCCTGCGGATGGCGTGAGGACGTGACGTTCATTCGACCGGAGACTTTGCCGAAAATGCAATTCCTGTGGAATCCTTGTATTCAACGCGATGTCACACTTTGAGGGCTACAAGTCGCACCATGCGTCGCGTTGGTTTGTTGGCGATGCAAAACAACGTTATTTCATACATACAAGAAATGGCTTGACGAATGGTACATATTGAAACACTCCTAGGCAACGCGAAAACTCAAATGGTAACCTGTTGCCAAATTGAATGCCTTCCATGTTCGTTCCAGGTCGGTGGTGGGAACGAAACGGTCGCTTGTAACCGACCCAAAAACCTTGTAGCATTCGGGGGTTTCAACCAAACGTCGTCGTCAGGTTGGCGGCCGTGCATGCCTGGGTACTTTGGCGGAGATGCTTTCAGAACCGCGGCGGGTATCGGCCCAGCAGTTGTATAAAGTTCACCCAGGTGGTGCAGAGACCATCGACGATGCAGACAGCGACATGCGAAACGACTTCATCGCCGACAACAAGGAATTCATTCAAGAGGAGACGGTCAATGCTGCGCAAGCCATCTCGAAATGGTACACAGTACTCTTGCTACGTTGTCATTGCTTACGGATTGCCTTTGTCAGGTGGCGCATTCGAAAACTGCACAACCGCATCAAGAGCAAATGGGTACGTGGTCCTACTGTCGCAATTGTTTTCACCGACAAACGATGTGCAGACGCCAGAGCACTTGCGCAAGCTAAGGGAACAGCAACGACAAGTGCGCATCCAACTCCGGATCCGCGAAATCGCCCTCTACATCGTGTACCTGCTCTTTCTCAACGACTACGTGCTGGGCCCGTATACCGACTCGAGCCTGTATTACTTTAACGCCAACCTCAAACGTACTCCACTGCTCGCATGTGTCTATTCCGTGTCTAGATATTGAAAGGCCATGGCCACTTGTAGGATTATTTATGACGGCGTCCGTAAAAGAAACTCAATTCAACGCCATTTCTACGATCCCACAAGTGCATCGGTGGTTACAAGGACCGTTCTTTGACGCGCTGTACTCGGAAAAGGACCCCGTGACAGGCGACTACACGATTCTGCAATATGGCCAAGTCGTGGGAGGGATCAGCATCGGGCAGCTTCGGGTGCTGCCTCAAGAGTGCACGTCCAAGCTTCCCCCCCAAGCGGGAAATGAAAAGGTAAGCTCCCCACCACCACTCCTCTCTCGTACTAATAGGTCCACGTTGATGTACATTTGTAGCTGTACTGGTGTTACGGGACCAAGTCTGGCCACTTCGACGAGTCGGTCGAAAGCAAATTGCCGTTTGGGACGGGCAATGGGTCTAACTTTCAATGGAACTCCATTTCAGAGGACTCGAACATTTCCGACACCCGACGCGCGTTCTTCACAAGTTACACAGGTGCCACGGCGGCCGTGTATCCCGCGCCGGCGTTCCGCGTCGTCCTGCCGCACTCCAACGCGGACGAGACCAAGGCGCTCCTGGCGTCCATCGAGTCCAACGCGTACATGGATGTGCAGACCCGCGCAGTGTTTGTGGACTTGACCATTTTCAACGTCATGCTGAGCTCCGTGCTGGTGCTGCGGTTCGCGTTCGAGGTGCCCCCGTCCGGGGGGGTCGTGCCCACATCGGACAGCGTCGTGGCGCCGTACGCGGACACGTCGTTCAACTTCCTCACGCACTACTCGATGCTGGCGGTGGCGCTGTTCTTCTTGCTGTACTTTTTGCTGCTGCTGCGGGCCACGCGCAAAGAGGGGTGGCCTGTCTATCGACGCCTCGAAACGTGGGTCCAGGTCGCCAATTCGGTCGCATACATCGTCATGTGGCTGCTCCGGGCGTGCGCCGGATTAGATTTCCCCAACATCCACGTGGCCAGCACGTCCCCGAGCAACTTTCGGTCGTACGCGTTCATGTATAACGTCAGTATGCGGCTGGCGGCGGCCGTGTGCTTTTTGAGTTATGTGCGGCTGATTCTGTTTCTGGACGTGCTGCCCCATGTGAACTTGATCGTCAAGACGGTCGTGCTGTCCGTAACTCAAGTGTCGAGCTTCTTGTTTGTGTTTGGACTGCTCGTGTACGCGTATGCGACGTGCTACTGCGTCGTGTTTGGGTCGTCCGTGGAGGTTTTCAGCACCGTGTCCCACAGCTACACGTCGCTGCTGCAGTCCCTCGTCGGTGACTTGGACTACGCCCCCATGCGCGAGGCGAGTCCGGGTATGGCCATGCTGCTCGTTGTCGCGTTCACGCTCGTGGCAGTGTTTGTCCTCGCGCACATTCTCATTGGTACGACCTTGCAAAGCCCCTTCATTTCTACTACAGTGTATGTCGTTGATTCGTTCGTGTGTTCGTTTATGTGCTTGCTTGCTTCCACTTTGATTGGTCATAATAGATTATTCATTCGTCTCGAATGTGTATATTTGCGTGGCCACCCTGGTGGTTGACACTTGTTGCAATGTCGTAGCCATGATAATCGACGCGTACTGGGCGAGCAAAGAGTCGACCCAGTGGGAGCAAGTCAACTTGGTTGTCGAAACGCTCTCGTATGTGTGGAGCATAGGCATGGATCTGGTCCACTACGTCGGTCGCGTGTGCGGCGTGTCGTTCGTCCTCGTCGAAGACTCGTTGGATGCACAGTCCACTGGCCATCACGAAATGCTAGGGCCGTTGCGGCCCCGCCGACTGGATGTCCAAGCGTGCCACGGCCACCGGTTGTCGGCGGTGCAAAAGCTCGTCGTGATGCCCCTCGCAGCCACCCACGCCAAGCTGGAGCAGCTCGGCCATACGCTGTCGCAGAGCCAACTGGTGCGCAGCGGCGTCGACGGCATTCGGCGGGGGACCAACATGGTCGTGGCCAGGTCCAATCAGATCACAGACCGCCTGAACTCGTTCCGCGACGAGCGAGGCGGCAGTCCGTCGAACAATCACCAAAGCGCTAGGCGGTTTCCCAGTGGAAATGGGGGCGGCATGGCCAGCGACGCGCAGATGAAGGTGCTGCAAGGCATGATCATCCAGCTGGCCCATCAAAACACGAAAATCCAGCAAACGCTCGTCATGCTGCAGTCCCAAGTTACGGAGCTGCGCGAAGCGTCCAAAGGCGACGACGACCGACGGCAGGACGATGACCCCACTGGCCCATCGTAGAAAAGCACACACTTATTTAACATTAATCCATGCAACAACCACAACACCACCACCACGTAATCACGTGCATACTGTAATCAGTGCTCAGCGGTTTGGTGGCCAGTTAGGTGGGTTCTCTACATGCCTTGACAAAGTACTTTATATGTGACCACAACTAGCACATCTATAACACACAGCTATAGTGCTAGTTGTACTACGTTCTGTATCCCAACATATACGTACATGTCAAAAGCAATCCAGCGGTGACGGATGGCATCTCGTCCTTCTTTCGTTCTTGACGATATCCCCCCCATGCCCCCCATCCCACCCCCACCCAGGTTGTAGAATACGAAACAAGGAAACCAATTACTTTTTAGACGACTTGAACCCTGCAAACGTGATGGACCGTCGTTTGGCTTTTCGCTTGTCGTCTGTGTCGGTGCTGTCGTCAGGCGCTAGGGCGGCGGAGCTGCTGCTGCCGGTGCCCGACGTAGGGAGGCCGATTTCAAAGTCGTCTTGCGCCGTGCGGAGTGGATTGTTGGGGCGCAGCACCGCCGACGCCAGTCGATTGCTCGACTCTCGGCGGAGGAAGATGCTCAGGTTGCGCTGGGACGGGAACCCCATCAAGAATGTGCCCATGGGCGACATGTCGAGCGAGTTTTCAATCGCCTGGCGGTTCATGCTGTTCATGTCTTCGTTGTCGACGTCATCGTCCACCCCGATCGACGTCGGCGCCGACGACGCGGCTCCCGTGGCATCTTCGTCGCTGCTGTCTTGGCCCAGTCCAGGAACCTCGTCTTCTTCCTCGTCGGCTTCGTCGAGGTCGACTTCGGCAGAAGTCCCCCGACTGCCCGACGCGCCGCCAGGTTTGGCTTCGACCACGACCGCGACCGCGACGACAGGTTCGTCAGAACCTGCGACGCTCTTGACCAATGCCTGCGGGGTGTGCCAGTACGAGCTCAGGTTTCGACTAGCCAGCGTCTTGCGCTTCTTGAGCAGGGGCGGCGGGGACAGGAGCGACCGCTGGGCCAGCAGCGCCACGCCGCCAATCGTTGTCAAGATGCCCAGCACAAACATGCACGCTTGAAACTCGGAAAACGACCGGATCTCTTGAAAGTACACGGCACCGCCCATCACGCCGCTAATGATCCAGTACGCCTACACCCATGTCAAAACCATCATATATATATATAGGTAGATAGATATGTACTTGGTAGATGGGCACCACCGACAGCGCGTCGTAGTTGGCCAACCCGCCGTTGAGAAAGTGCATCTGGGCGACCAAACACCCCCCCATGGCCACGATAATGCAGTACGTTTCCGGGTGGGTGAAGCAGTCGCCACCCGCGAGCAGCGACTTGACCAGCTCCACCGTCGACTTGGCAAACAACACCGACTGGCCGCCCATGAGTCCGCCCAATCTAGTCACACAAATGAAATGTCCATCGTCCATCAACATGGAACCCGTACCCGGCGTACGCGACGAGGCGGACGGTGGACCACACGGACGGGTCGCCAAAGTTGATGATGCGATGGCGGTGTGAAGCCAGGTTCAGGTGCTCGACGCATTTGATCATGGCGTAATGCAGCACAATGAGCACAAACACGATCGCAAAGTACAGCACTACCCCACACAATATAATTAATACCCATCGTTCAACCATCATCTGAAATATATATATATCATATATATTTTAATCATATTCATCTATATATAATATTCAGATATATATATATATAATATTCAGATACATATATATATATATATTTAATATTCAGATACATATATATATATATAATATTCAGATAGATAGATAGATAATATTCAGATATATATAGATATAGATAATTTTCAGACATATATATATATATGTAATATTCAGATATATATATAATATTGATATATATATATTATATCGAATTCAGAAACATATATATATATAATTACAGGTCAGGGGATTGCGGTAGAGGTGTTTGAGGTCGTCCAACGTGTAGGACGGGGAGTTGTGGTTGGCAAACACGACGGCCAAGGTAGCGCCAAGGAAGATGATTAACGTGGCCCAAATGTCCTTGCGGGTCAATCGTTCCTTGTTGAAGCATGGCGCGAGCATCTACGACGACGACAAACGTGACGAAGATGCGTTGAGTCGGACGTACCATGTTCCACACCAACGTGAGCGCGGCGAGTGGCGCGAGGAGACTCTGGGGAGCCAGCCCAAACGCAATGAAGTCCAGCAGCGACCCCGCGACGATCAAGCAGAACCCGAGGGTCCACAATGGAAGGCGGAACGGCGACATCGGCTGGGTGCCGGTCTCATGCGCCGTCACTTCGTTCTGCTTGAGCGCTTTCTTCTGGAGGTTGATGCCGATGCTGGAGAGGAACGAAAACACGACCGAGATGGTGAACCCCGCCACCCACGCCCCGCGATTCGGACCGGTATATGTCCACGGAATGCACTTGGAGTCGTCTACGGTGCCGCACACGTTGTTTGTCACGGGCTGAGCCTGCGACGCGAACGACGCCGAGCAGTTGTTCGCGACTTGCAGGGCGCACATGCTGCTGCAGAGAGGCCGCGCTTGGGCGAGTTCGCACGCGGGGAAGGCAAACGTACAAGCTACTTCCCGTAGCGCTTGATGGCACGATGGCGTCGAGTTGTTTGTCGCGGACACTGACGCGGCGTGAAAGAGGGCGTACTGCGATTCGGCCAGGCGATCTTGGAGAGCTACAGTCATGGATCGCTGGAGGCACACGGGGTAGTGGTTGCGGAGGCTGCCGCAGAACCCTAGAGGGGATTCTATGTTGACACAGCTATCGCAGATCACAGGCTCCACCGCCGCCGCCTTTACCGACGACAAACCACCAAGCAGGACCACGAAGATCCATGGCGGCAGCAGCATCACCGTGGGCATGTGCAGTCAAATACCGAGGGATTGTAATTTTTTAGGAACATTATTTGATCCATTCTTTTTTTGACACATTTTTATTCACCATTAGGGTTTCGTAAGGGATGCCTTTGTATTTTACACTTTGGTTTCAGCATTTTATTGGAAGTTAAAAAAAGGTCAATGAAACGCCCACGTATCCGGATACCATTGCCATTCGATTCGAATTATAATATTTGGGTCTAATATTTCAAAGAATCCTTCGGTTTGTAACCTGGATTTCAATTTACAAAATGCGAAAGTAATCCTATGTCCGGATAATGCAATACCTTCCAACAATCCCACGACAGAAGTGGCAAATAATGACATTGACAGTGAGTTAACCAGGAGAAAACATCGACTCGAGGCTAGCATTGTGGTTGTGTTTGGCCACGTCGGAGTGTATCAGGCCTTTCTCGTGATTCTTTAAAGCTTGTTGCGATTGCTACATGATCGTCAGTACCTCAATACGCCCAAGGAGCACAGTAGTACGTACGTTCGCAAAGAAGGTTTGGTGGTAGTGCAGCATTTTTGTGGACGTGGCTTTGATGTGGTTTTCAGCCATGAGCTTGGCTTTGTAGTCTGTCTCGGCTGCGTACGCATTGATGCGATCGATGTGTTCCTATCGGTGCCAGGGGTCAGGTCGCCAGTGGCTTAACGTTCGACTTTACCGTGATAACGTGTCGCTTCGCCTGCCGAGTGGCGTCGCGGTGGTATTGGTCCACGATCTGCGGCATCAATTTGGCTCGTTTGAGACTCTTGGGGGTGTTGCGCATGTCCCCGCCCAGCACGAGCGTCGACACTGTCTGGGGTACGATGCCTGGCGCCAGTTTCGCAGAGTATCGCGTGGGGGACGGCAGATGCGTGCGGAGAGCCGCCTCCAAGTCCTCCACGCAAAACACGTCGTCTGTGGCTTTGTCGACAAGGCGTCTATGGGACCCCAACACTTTGGTGGGTGGTCGGGCGGCGGTCGCAAGCCGTGGCAAGTGCGGGGGATCGGCGGATGATTCTTCTGGGGGAGTTGTAGTCGTCGGAATTTGATGTGGGTCGAGCGTGCCAAGCTTGGTCGTGTTGATGTCGTTCTTACGGTGGTGCTGCCGCCTCCGCCCCACCGCGGTCGGCACTGGTACTTGCGACGCCGCAGCCACCCGCTGCTGCAACCCTGCAATGTACTTGGCTTGGCGGGTCAGCGGGTCCTCAATCTTGTCGTCTTCGGGGTCTCGTGGCACGTCAAATTGCCTATTTGTATATGTCCATACAATGTTCTGCCATGCAATTCTATGGAAAAGTCGTACTTGGCGAACGAGCGATAGTGCACGACACCGTCTTTCGACGACAAGGACGACGCCGTGGGGTCGTGGTGGAGAAGCAGTTCCCGCACTTCGTGCTCTTTCAGCCCTGACATGTCGAGTGTCAAATGCCTGAAGAGCGGAACGTCAGTTGCCGTACCAAAGTTCATTTGCTGCAGCGTGGCCATGAGGTCATCAGTCGTGATGAACCCCGATTGGTTCTTGTCGTGGGCGGACAACGCCGCCGCGATCGTGTTGGCGACCGTGCCGATGCCCGTCGGACTCTTGTACCATGCCTCGAGTTTGTACGTTTTGGTAGAGCGCTACAACCAACATACACGACGTTCCTACAGTAAGCAAGTGGCCAAGCAACCGACGGACCAACGAACCTGATGCAACGTGATGTGGCTAACAAGGTGCTCCTTGGCGTGGGAGGTGCCTGTCGATGGTGGTGGCGTCGGGTGGTGCGATTGTGTGTTGGTGTTTATGACATATGTTGAAGCCACCTCCGAGCTTTGAATGTCGTGTGCAAGGACGACGTCGGCAGGTGGTTTCGTAGGACTTGGCAAGTAGTTCGTGTCGTTGAACCTCCGTGGCATCGTGTTGTTGGGCATCTCAACTTCCTGCCGCCGCTTCACGTTGGCATTGCCTACATACCTCCGCTTCCGTGTGTGCGTCATGGTCACGCCGTCCTTGGTCTGTAGCGCCAACGATAGTGTTTCCACCAAAGCGAGCGTTTCAAGTGTATTTTTAGACACACCACTCAGAGGCCGTTCAGAAACACAAACACAATTGGAGGTGCTTTACACTCACTCCCAACCACGTGGCATTGCTCAGCATAATCATGACAGGTGTACAGTATCGCCCAGGTTGTACTGGTACGACTTGATGATACAGTTCTACCAACATGCAAACGATGGCCCCAGAACGTTCCGCCCTCTATACTCGCCGTTCTTGTAACGCAACACGGCTCAGCCATCAGCAGCTTGCACTTGACATCAGATTCGCTTGTCGCTACCATACTCTAAGTACTACAGTACTGTAGTACTTTTGACACTGAAGTAGAAAGTACTGGAGTACACTGTAGTATGCTGTACTAGCCTGACCTTCAGATTCGCCGTAGTCGCTGTACCATTTATTATTTTAATAGTAAATGGTACAGCGACTACGGCGAATCTGAAGGTCAGGCTGGTCAGTACACTATTAATACGTATTAATAGTATTATTAATACTTCCCTTTATCTGGGTATTTACGAAACAAACTACGAAACACACCTACTACTAGTAGTACTAGAGTATCATGTGGTGAAATTATGCAAGTGCCAGACCAAGCTGAGCTTGAGACTTACTCCGAGTACGACGTTGCTACGGTGGAAGACCACGTACAGCCTGCCAACAATCCGGTACACCCAGCAGCAATCACAGGCACGCTTCGCTCATACTATCACTGGCGTTGCAGATTGACTGAAGCAGTTTGGTGTTGGCACGACTCGAGACAATCAACTAATCTAACTGCATCAACTTCGATGTTGGTGACCCCAGGGATACGTCACTTACAGTAGCTCCAATCGAATATAGTGTTAAATGCACTTCCCTACTGTACAGCTACAATGTAACTTCATAATCATGATGTTTGTACTGCCAAGACATCGACCGCCATGTAAATGAGGCACTGCATGCCGCGCACCTCGAGTGGCGCCATAACTTAATAATATTGTTGTTGTGCTAACAGGTCAAATATTGTTGTTGTCATAAGAGGTCCCAGTGCACGCGGAGGTGATGTCCTTAGTCTTGAACACCGACTTTGTGAACAATGCCGCAAAGTAACTCTCCATCTAACGAGTGTACTGCCTTGCGACTGCCGTTATTCTAACTAGAGCAAAACAGTTGTGCATCACGTTGACTTTCCAGTAACTAGTTATTGTACGGAGTGTGACGAGCCCGCCGGGATACACAGCATCGGGTCCAGCATACAGTCATGTTGCTGGGTCTCGAAGGTCCGCGCAGTGTCAAGGACGACCGTCTGTCCTGGCAGGAGTTCCCGCACATTTCCTCGCGTCGCGGACTTGCGCAGCACCAGATCTGCCTGGCGCTGCACCGCTTTGGTCAGCGAGAACGGCGCCAACGTCAAGTTGGCGAGACCGACCACGCGATTCGGGACCACTTGGCCCATCTTGAAGTGCTAGTCGAGCATTTCCATGAACGAAAACCAACGTACCGCCGCTGTTATGCTGGTTGTACCACCACTCTATGCTGGTGGAGGAGGTACGTGTAGCAGCGTCTGTGCTGTGATATCTGTCCACAGTAAATTACGTAGTACTACTAATAGTATGCATGTTTCGTGATTGTTTCGTAAATCACCATATATCTAAGATACAAGCAATCGCATACAAATTTCAAGATAGCAGGAATTAGATACAAGTGATTTACGAAACAAAAACGTTTCGTGATTGCTAGTAGTCTGGTGTATTTTGTTTCGTGTTTGTTTCGTAAATCGTGTATACTTACTATTATTAATAATATAAGTACCCTAGTCCTGGCGAAGCGAGGATGCTCCGATGCCATTGGCTACCTGACCAAAAAAGAACCGAAGATTCCACCAATTAATTGTAGAATCAGGGATTTTCATGAGCTGGTATGTTGGAAGTTCGCAGGGTGGTTGGTTACTCACCAAACAAGGTGGTCGTCACGATCTTGCTCTTTCATCTGTTGTCGAAGCAGCCCGCACTTCTGTCCGTTCCCTCATGGCGCCTTCCACATTACTGGCTGTCGTGCTGTGCCTGGTCGTATTCGTAGGAATCGTCATGGCACAGGACACATGGACCACCGACTGCGACAGCGTTTGTGGGTCTGCCTGGTCAGGGAGTTGCGTTGTCGTCAACACCAGCACCAATGTCGTTGAATCCCCAGACAGGGTGGCGTTGGCCCGAACTTTCCACTGCTTACCTTCGACAGGAAGTTTGATTGCCTCGCTCACCATTAGTTCAAATCACCATGCATCGTCCATCGATGCCGGCAGTCCGGTGTACGGCATCCGACACATCGGCGTGGACTGGACAAAGCTCAACGTCACCACGCTGTACGAACATGACTGACTGCATGGACACACCACCATAACGTATAGTGCATGTGTAGAATTCTGCGCGGCGTCGGTGACACCGTCGTCCCCATGGACATCACGTTCAACTCGGCGGATCCATTGCTCGGCCTTTCACATGTGTACGTACAGTACTTCCATCAACCATGCAACGTTCGTTCGTCATAATGTTCATGTGTGTGTAGGTCCATAAGCCACCTGGACGGCCTTGACCTGCCTCCTCTACCCGCGACCCTTCGATCCCTGTACCAGACTCGTCTACATGCAGCAACAATCAATAGCTCTCACCTCCTCCAATTGTCCATCGTAGGCAAGTCTCTGGCTGCCAGCTCACAGAAGTCCCTCCACACTTACCACCCCAGCTCACATCCTTGTAAGTATACTCCTCGCCATTCAGGTACGCCTTCTCTCAACTGTGCAATTACTCTAGAGACCTCAGCAACAACTTGCTCACGTCCATCTCCCCTCGTATATATGCCCTCAAGTCCCTCACACATCTGTAAGTCGATACAGTCGTGGCGTCCACTCAATCATGCCTGCGTAGTGACCTGTCGCATAACCCCCTTCCGCCGCTATCATCCCATGACCTAGCCTTTGTGTCGACCCTCGAGTCCTTCCACGTGGACTCTGTAGTATCGCCCCCCCCACCGTCCATCGTCCTCACCCCCTCCCTCTTGGCTGCCGACCCCGCTTCCCTTTCCAGTAGTACGTGAAATCCAACGATAACGGTGTCGCATGCACTGACCCCCTGCCATCGCATGTAGCTTCGTCGTCAAGTCTCACGTTGGTGCTTGTGGGCATCGGCGTCGGGCTCGTGCTGCTCATCATGGTGTTCCTGTACGTCCTTCGGCGCCGCCACTTCTGCGATCGGCAGCAGCGCCACGAAAACAACAACCCCCTCTCCAGCATGGACCAGATCTACCACACCGCGTTCACGAGCACCAAGGACCCTGCCCCCTCGATCGTCAAGCCCCCGTCGTCGTCATCGGTGGACTCTATCTTCCACGCCACGGTCACAGCGGACGTCGAGCTCGGTCGGATGCGCCTGCCGGTCGACTCGCTCGTGACCACCCGTCGGCTTGCCCACTCCCGCACCCACCTGTACGTGATCTACCTTGGCCAGTGCGACGACACCGCCGTCGTGCTCAAGCAAGTGTCGGCCACGACATCCGCCGACAACATGGACACGGCGGCGCTCCACCTTATGGACGAGATGCGGCTGTTGGGCCGCCTCCGCCATCCCCATGTGGTCACGTTGATTGGGGTTTCGTGGGACGACTTGCACGCACCCGTGGCCGCGACGGCCACTGGCGTCATGGAGTACATGAACCAAGGCGACTTGCGCTCCCTTCTGGATGCTGCGCCGCTCACGTGGACCGACGCCAAGTTTGGCATGGCGCTGCACATCGCCCGCGCCTGCCTGTACCTGCACTCGCATCACCCAGTGCTCATCCATCGCGACCTCCGCGCGCAAAACGTCCTGGTTCACCGCCGCCCCCTAGACGACTTGGACGATTCATTATCGTCCTCTACATTGCCAAATTCGGAAGACCTGGACGAGGTAAATGGGGAGACGAGGCGAACGAGTGGCGGTGGGTTTTTGTGTAAACTGACCAACTTCACGTCCGCGCGCGTGCGGTCGTACGTGGACACGATGACGTCGGGCGTTGGCAGTGCCAAGTGGGTGGCACCTGAAGTGCTCCGGGGGGACGACTACTCGGAGCGCGTCGACATGTATTCGTTCGGGGTCGTGCTGTGTGAACTCGACACGCACGCGTTGCCGTTTGCCGACCACGCCACGGGTACGTCCGAGAGTTGCTGCGTTAGTTGCTCTACAATGTGTTTCTACTTAGACTCTACAAGGGAAGACCAGCGGTCGCTCGTCCAAGACATCATGACAGGCAAGGCGCTTCCTCGGTTCTCCCCCACGTGCCCGCTGCCGATTCTGCAACTTGCAAAGCAATGCCTGCAACTCGATCCGGCGAATCGACCCACGGCGCGCGCGGTCGTGGATACGCTCGAGAAGCTCGTGATGGAACATGCCTGGGGCGGGCGCAACGGCGATGGCATTTACGTGTGAGAGAACCAAAGACGTGATATGTAAATGATTTATTGCGCTTCAAACACAAACACGTCGTCCATTTCAAAGTTGGCGGGATCGTCTTCATCATTGTCGGACTCGTCGTCTTCGTCGTGCTCGTCCAGGCAGAGCCGGTCAAGGCTCAGGCGGTTGTCCGTGAGCGACGATAGGCGCTCTTGCCGCAAGGACTCGATGGATCGCATCACTGCAAGGGATGGGGATTTGGACAGGTCGTCTGCGGTCGTGAGGGGGTGCGGGGTCTTGGTTGTGGCACGGCGCGGCATGTGCAGAAACCCGACCTGGGCAGGACACGAGCTCGCAAACTGCACGACTGTTTCACGTCTGGATGACAACGATGTAGATTCGGAAGGAAGATTGAGTTCTGATGGAGGAGGGGGGAGATGCAATGGCGGCATGGGATGCGCCGCCAAAAACGACGAGCTTGGATCAGGGAGGGATCCAATCAACGGGGTGCGTGGAGCAGCCATTCGAGGTTTGGACGACGATAACGCAAGGTGCGGCGGAAGAGACATCAAATGACGTGGAGCAGGACACGAATGAGCTAGCGTGGTTGTGTGGATATTGGCAGTGGTAGCAGTGGAAGTAGACCCTGTAGATGAAGGCGGGTGGATTGCAATGGCACGACTTGCTTCTTTCGGAACATGCACCGCGATGATGGTCGACGGCGACAGAGTGCTACTGCTCATTGTGTGATGATGGCAGTTCTATGAGGAGGAGGCTACGACAGCAGGGAGGTCAAAAGTCGCCGCAGAAGGGAGGGCGCGCTTGGGCTTCTGGTGCTGTTGCGCCTTCTCTTGGTAGGACGACACAGTCGGTTTTGAATATCTCGTGTCTGATTGGCCGCGAAGATTCAACTTCGAGTACGAGCACTTCGATTTCAAGATCAAACTTCGAATTTGCATACTAGATTCAAGTTCCATCTCAAAGCGAGAGAGAAGGGGCGTACTTGGCCAGATCACATGCAGGAATGAAGCTCTGACGCGGCGGCGACGTCCTCACTGAGGACGTCGCATCCATGCTTGGTGTGATCTCCATCAGGTGGAGTAGCACTTGAGACGTCTTGTCGTTTCTCGTATGGCTGAGGACACTTGAAGGTGCTATCTATGGAAGAGTATCCACCGATGCGTCCAGAAGTCAGGAGATCCTTTGTGCCACCACTGAATGTGTCCTGAACCTTCATCATCATGCACAATGCACGGGAGGAATGGTCTGATTGAGTGAAGGTGCTTCATGCGTGAAGGTCGAACCTTGCATTTCCATGTCTCATCAGCCCCACGGAACTCACCACGACCGCCATGACACCACCAGCACCCAAGCCCCCCCGATAGCGCCCACAGAAGCCCCCCGCGCACGACGACTCAACCATGCCACCACTGGCGCTTCCACGTTAACGTTAACGTTATCCTTATTTGGTTTCACGGAGCAAAAAGTCTGCCCATGCGTCGCTAAAGGTCGTCCCAGCAACGTGCACTTGGTCTTGCGGTGGTGGTGCTACGTCGGAGCTTCCAAAGATGGACCCGAGCAATGGAATCGACTTGAGGCGACCGGGATGGGCTCTCATGCGCTCGTTTTCCTCTGGCGTGAAGCCCTACAGCCACATCGTCATGACCACCTCCAAGAGAGGTCACGTACTAGGATGCGCCCCATGACTTCCAGCACGTCGCTCTTATTCGGGCTCTCGTGGAGCTGGATCTACATGGTGTTGGCGCTTTCATCAGGATGACATCCATGTGCCTGCTTCACCGTACCATCATCTGTACCATCAAGCGTTTGTCCACCGACTCGACCGTGTCCCCGTGGAACCGCGCCGCGCTGCGTTCCAGGGCCTGTTATATAATTGTTATAAATAATTATAATTCCCAAAAAAAACGTACATCTCGAAGGCGCTCGATTTCGCCGTCTTTTTTCGCCACAGACTGCTTCAACAGTGCAACGTCGTCCGTCGACGTCTGCCGCTCCCGCGACGAGGCCACGTCCGCCTCCAGCGCGGCAAGCCTCGACGTCCACGACGCCTCCTTGGCCTGCCATTGCGCCTCCTGCTCCTCGTCCATCAGATCCAGCATCCACATTGTGTATGATGAACCTACCTCTGTCTCCCGACGGCTTTGGAATTGAGTGAGCACCGCATGCAAGTTGAGGAGCTCCGAGTGCAGTCGGTCAGCGTCCTGGCATGATGAAATGGGGGTTATGGTGGTGTGTATAATATATATATATATATATATATATATGAAGGGGAATTGACCTGCTGCGCCACGTTCTTGTCGGCTTCGACCAGAGCCAAAGTGGACTTGAGCTCAAACCACTGGGCTTCCGATACGGCACTCGTGTTGGCCCGACCGTGCTGCACCCACTGGGCCCGTTCCATGTCCAGCTGGGCCTTTACTTGCGCCAACTGGTCCGAGACAGCATACGCCATCCGCTCGAGTTCCATATTGCGCTCGACCAAGACAGACGACTGTTCCTCGCCATCACGGGCACCCAGTGCAGCCTGCAACTACATACAACCAAGCATGCAATGTCGTTGAAGGAATGGAATACAAAGTTGATGAGGCTACCTCCAACGTCGTCGCCTCCAATTCACGCGATAGATGCTCGACGTTCACTTGGCTCTACATGTGACGAGGTTATTCTAAGCTGGAGAAGCATGAATCGACGCAACCAAATGGACACAAGAATCATTGGCAGTAGGATTTAGCCAATCAGATTGCAGGAAACAACCATCATCAACGCCAAATTAGTGTATGTGTGACTTTAATTAGTGTGATACCAATCAACCACAAGCCACGTTTTTATATACAAAATTCAAAGAATCGATCGATAGATTTGGCAAATCTATCGATAAAAAGTCAACCATATTTTGGGTAAAAGAAAGACAATATCTCGAAATAGACATATTTCGACCAGGTACCCTGAACCCAATTCGGATTCATTCGTAGTATGGGTGGGGGTGTACATAATATATGGGTTTGCACCCACCTGATGGAGTTTGTCTTGAAGGTGGCGGACAGCTTGGTCATTGTCGGGAGATTCCTGGACATGGCGCTGCTCCACGTCACGAACTTTGGCTTGTGCCTATAAAGGTACACGGGTTCATCCAGAAGATGATCACACACACTGTCGCATGCAAAGATAGAGTGAGTCATATAATACTGCCGCCAGTTCAAGTTGCAGTTGGCCCGTCGTTTGTTCGAACTCGGCCACCACTCGCTCCATGTCGGTGCGCCGGGCGACCCCAACCTGGTCCAATTTGAGTTTGCACTCTGCCAAGTGAAACGGCGGGTCCAGCTGCTCGCCTTGGGACAGCACGAACGCCGTCAACGTCGTCTCCAGTGCCTTCGCGTCCACTTCGGCCGCCACCAACCGTGACGTAACCAACGACGCATAATGGCCCAACTGCAATAACATCATCGCATATTCCACGACAACGTGGCAGTACAAAGAAACAACTGTACCTTATGTGACATTGTGGCGTCGTCGTCCACGAGGTCGGCGGCGTGTAGTACGCTGGACAACGTGGCCACGGCGTCCACGACAACCGGATTCGCTTCAATCAGGCTATCAGCGGGTGAGTCTGACGTGGCGCCCTCGTTTGCTTTTGCGGCCGCGCTGCTGCAAAGGCGATCGCATTCGACGTGCCATCGATGGGCTTCTCCCAAGGCGGCAGCCAACTTGACGTCAAACGACGCTACGGCCTCGTTCATGGCGGTCGCATGCAGTGCTCTGTCGTGCTCTAATTGAGACTGCAGGCTTTCCACTCGTCGTTGGAGCTATGCATGGAGATATAGCTAGCGCATGGTGCATGCTTGGATATGTACCTCACGTGTGGCCGTGTCGTCGACGACGGGCAATGGGAGCGACTCCCGCTGCAAGGCTAATTGAGCTTCCAGGTCTTCAATCTACCACGAACGGAAGAGATGATGGGTTGCGTTTCTGATCGCACCTTCTTGAACGCAGCCTCGACTTCCTGCTTCTTTCGAATCAACGACCGCTCCAAGTCTTCAATGTACGCATCCAAGTCCTCGTCTTGCCCTGGGGTAGAAGCATTTATCCCCCCTTCCTTCTCGATATCATGCTCATCATCGACTCCGCTGACAATGTCCCGAATGTCCTGCGTCAAGTCTTTGCCGTAGTTGGCTACGTTGGCAGCCAAGGAACCCCATAGACTGCTTGACGCCATTTTCCATGATGGGACTCGCGTTGAAACGTATCCGGATCCGCATAATCCAGCAATATCCGGAACACAAGCGTTTTCCGGATGCCACACCAAAACCTGGTCACTGGAACAGCAATATGAGCGCGCTCGACTCGGAAATGGAAGCGTACGGGTATGCGACGGACCTCATCATCGTGCTTGACATCAAAGCCACAGACAAATGGAACATGAAGTCGGAAGAAATGCGGCGGTTCGTCGACGGATTGACTGCGCTTGCGGCTCTGGAATGCGACGAACGCGGCACCCAAATCCGCCGCATGTTGCTTGCACAAGGCCCGACCGCCGTTCAAAACCTCGTGGACGCACTAAGTTGTCGGGAGATGCTGTTGAAGTGCAAAGGTGCAAGTGCGTTGGGTTCCATTTGCATGTGTCCGTCGGCCGCGGCGACGTTGATGGAGCGCCACAGTGCCTCGATCGTCCACGGATTGCTTCGAATGATCCAGACAAAGAATCGATGGGCCCAAGGCGATGCATGCTTTGTTCTTGGGTGGATCGTACGATGGAGTGCACCAGACAGCACCTCCATATTGCTCCAAATCGCTGAACACGTGCCGAGAGTATGCGACGCTCTGACGTCCACCTTCATAGCCCCGAGCTCCACCGCTCCTTCCGCGGACAACAGTAACGACCAAGATCGTGAATCCAACTTGCGCATCTACCCGTTGGTGCTTCTACTCAACCTATCCCAACAAGTCCCTGACATTGGAGCCTTCGCTCCAGCTATTCTACGTGCGCTAGAAGTGGTCTTTCACGAAGTAGTCGCGGCCTCGTCCATGGATGAGCGTTCCATCATTGCCCAACTAGCCGTGTCTGTGCTCTACACGCTGACCCACCGGTCGTCGACGTTGTGTCAAATGGTGCTCGAGCTTAAGTTAGTGCCCACATTGGCCAAGATGACCAAGCTTCCGTTGGACTCCCCCGACATTGCACAGCAAATACGAGTCGTCCTAGATACTGTCGTTCGTGCGTCTCGATGATGATATTGACAATCTAATACATGCATGTTTCGTGTCTTCGTCCGTAGCAGTCGCACAGATGCCGCGTGGCATGAGACTGGGTGGACGAAGAAGCGAGCTTGCTGTGGGCTGCTGCGTGAAGAGTCTCATACATTCATCTCGATATGATCTCCAAACCGTGCAGAGCCGTCAACTGGATTGAGAGCTGACAAAAATTGAAGAATGAACGACTGGCATTGGTTGTTGCATTGTTGAAAGTTGATACTTTGTCCGGATAATATCGTGTGGACCTTCATAATTTAATATATGTAACCGAGTACCATGATTGCCTACACAACTAGTACAAAACTAGTACATCGAGTTGTGACTTGCGGTCGAACTGCAATACACTGGCGAGTGTCCAGCTTTCCCCCACGTGTCCATCGAACGTGCCGGTTGTGTATGCGCAGTCCCACGGAAGCATAATGCAAGTGGGGTCGTTTCTGTCGTGGGCACTGATGCTACCAGTTGACGTACTCTAGGATAACTGATAATTGACCGTTACACCATAAACCATTGGTTTCATTGGCCCTAGGCATTTCCCACTACCAAACTTAGCACTTGCGGCGTGAAAGGTCGTGGACATGGGCGGCAAGGCGAGTGTGAACAAGGTGGCAGACACGCACATGCGCACAATGCGGTCGCATGGGTCGAACAAGCAGATCGCTCCATCTGCGACTCCCACCAACCCTTCCACGGTTGTATTAACACCAACGCCCGCACCGCCAATCAGCAACACAGTTTTGGACGAACGGGGGGGGTATACCATGTATATGGCGCCAGATACAAAGTTGTTTTGGGTCAACAAGGCAGGGGAGCGCTTCGATGACATGCCGTCGTCATGGAAACCCGTAAAGCGACATAGCAGCGCGCAGGTTTCGACCGCTCCCGAGGCGACTCTGCCATCATTCGAGGCCAGCATTCCAGGAACCTTGGAAGACGATCACACCCAAACTAGCAACAACGAAAGCTTGAAAAACAGAGCAAACAGCGACGTGCCAAAGTCACCGAACGCAAATACTCAACCAGTCCAAGAAACCAGTTCCAAGAAATCTTCCCGGAGTGAAGAGGTCCCAACTCGGCCACTGACAAAGGAAGTCAGCATTGCCAACATCCTACAAAGCGTACTTGGCGAGTCTGACGTGCAAGTGGTGCACATGCCACCGAAATCGATGACCAAGGAAGCGAGCATCGCCAACATCCTCAGCGACGCGTTGTGCGACGCAACCGTGGTGAATCATCGACCAGTCCAACACCGCCCGACGCCGTCCATGACGAAAGGAGCGAGCATCGCCAACATTCTCAAGAATGCGCTGGGAGATGATGCCACCACCGTTGTCCACGCACAGCCTCACGTGTTGACAAAAGAAGTCAGCATCGCTAACATCCTCCGAAATGCCCTGGACGACGAAGATGAACGAGGCTCTGCAGCAGCGATCTCAAAAGCGCCACCAACGTTAAGCAAAGAGGCTAGCATTGCTCACATCATATCGAGCGCGCTAGAAGACAATGACGTGTCTGCTGTCGTGCCAAGTACTCGGTTGCGCGACTTTGAGATTGGAGCAGCGGTGGCCCACCTCAACGCCCCATTCGACACTCCACAACCAACTAATCGATCGGGCATCGATGTGCCCCCCTTGCTTCAAAACTCGCGCTCGTCACGTCAAATGGATCAGCTGGAAAGCCAAGGCAGCACCTTATCGAGGGGCCTCAACACGTCGCCGAGCAAGGCAGAGCTCGTTCCATCCGCGTCCAGAGCCGAACTAAATCGCCTTCTAAGCGAATCTCAAGCCTCCTCCCCGGGTACAAGTGCAGATACAATGGCAGGTACTTCACTGGAAGCCATGCACTCGTCACCAATCAAGGCCCGCCCGAAGCGCGCTACATTTAACCACGGATCGGTGGGCTTGCCGCACCCAACATCGTTGTCACAGCACCAGCACCAGCAGCCTTTGATGGCAAATGGTTCGTCGCGACATATTCGAATGTCCATCCCTGGTGGTGAGCGCAACACCACAGATCGAGGCGACAGTCAACGGCTAAATTCGTTTCCAGTCGCAGCGTCCGACGGTGGAAGCCATGCCGCCAGATCCGAGCTCAATCGAATTCTGCTGGAAACCCAGCGGGAAGTCCAAAGCGTCGGGGGCGACTCCGATGTGTCGCTCTACACCCCTGTCGTTCCAAAGCTGCTGCCTGTGCGAACCAACACCCGAGCCAGCTTTACGCGGAGCTCCCAAGAGCAAGCCAGCTCCATCCTCCAGACCACGGTGCGGCTACAGTCGTCCACGCGCACGTCGTTTCGCCAAGCCCGGCTGTCCAACGCGGACGTCGAATCGCTGATATCGGGTAGTCGGGGCGGCCTTGCACCTTCGTCCAGTAAAGCGGCGCTGACACCATCGCGTTCGCGGGCCGACCTAAGTCCGCTTATGTTGGCTGAGCAGCAAGGAGCTAGGCAAGCGCAGGATGTAGAGTCGCCCTCTGCAGACAGTACACGGAGCGTTGCCGATGGCTCAGGAGATTCGCCAAGTGTCGTAGGGCTCATGCGGGTATCCCCGAGCAAGGCGAACTTGTTGGCCAAGGCAACTCAACTCGAAGGCAACGACTTGACAACTGTGCAGTCAAATGTTTCCAGTCGAAGTAGATTGGACCCGCCCACGACGCTGCAGAACTCGTCGAGCCGGTCGTTTCGGCAATCGCGCATGCAATCCTCAGAGCTGCAACGCAGCTCGACGGGCCTTCGGGGCATGAACACGTCCCCTAGCAAGGCCGTTCTCGTCCCTTCTGAGTCCAGAGCTGAACTGAACCGCCTGTTGTTGGCTGCTCAACACACGGCTGCAGATCCATCCTCCAGTGCCCGAATGCTGACGAATGGCGACTCCGATGGAAACCCGGGGGTTATTGGGCTCATGCGAACTTCTCCAAGCAAGGCTGTGTTGGTTCCGTCAGAATCACGAGCGGAACTGAACAGATTCTTGCTGGAAGACCAACATGCCGCGTCCACAGCTGACGAAAACACGGGCTTTATTGGGCTCATGCGTACGTCCCCCAGCAAGGCGGTGCTGGTTCCATCAGAATCACGAGCGGAACTGAACAGATTACTGCTGGAAGACCAACATACTGCGTCCACAGCTGACGAAAACACAGGCTTTATTGGGCTCATGCGAACTTCTCCAAGTAAGGCTGTGCTGGTTCCGTCAGAACCACGAGCGGAACTGAACAGATTACTGCTGGCAGACCAACACGCCTCTGCGGCATTGCCCGAGTCGTCGGCAGCGAGTCCGTCGAGGTCGCCCACACTGGTTTCGTACGCCGATTCAGTCATGTCAGTGTCCCAAAGCAGAGGCAACATTAGAGCGGGGAACTTGAGCTCGCGCCAGATGGTGATGCACAGCTCGCCTAGTCGATCGTTTCGACAAAATCGAACCCAGGACCCCGAAAGAGAAATGGTTCAACGCAGCAACACTGGCCTTCGGGGCTTGACCACGTCTCCTAGCAAGGCGGAGCTCGTGCCCTCTGCATCTAGAGCTGCTCTGACGCAACTATTGATTGCTGACAAGCTAGCGATAGCAGTCCAAGAAGCAGCTGCAAACCCAACAGATACAGCCAACTCTGCCGCATCTCACTCGCCCACTGCCACCGATTCACGTGGCGTCGAGCATCCTTCTGATCTTGGGCCAACAGAATCTCGCCCTGACCCCATCCCCAGAGCCCTAACCGACCACCCAACTCCGCTGGTGATCGTTCAAGGCGATGAAGTGCCCATCCAACCCACACCCTCAATGAACGACAACACGAGACACGACACGGACGACTCAATAACATCGACTGGAAGTGCCACGTCGGTAGATGACGCTATGGGCAGCTCATCCAGCAGCCATACGGCAGGCCATGACCCAACCAGTGACCTCAAAGACCACAAACTCAGTAGCCACGACATACCAGAAACATCCAGTCAACCACCACCATACTCGCTGCCTGCATCTGCCCTCACCCCCTCTGCGGCCATGCTTGGTGAAGAAGAACCCACAGAAATCTCCCCATCGCCCGACAGCGGCCCCCCTTTCGACGGCACTGTCCCCCTGGGTGTGGACGTTGCTTGTTCACGATTCACAGCTAAACGCCTCGAAACCATCGACTCAAAGGGATCGATCGCGTCCAACAGGTCTGTCTTCGCGTCCGAAAACTCGACGGACGAGACAGATAAAAAGGTCTGGATCATCGACGGCGTCGCCAGCTATCCCATGGCGCGGCAGTCCAGCCGGAGCAGCATCGTCCCGTCCAGCCAAGCCTAGTTTGGCCTGCATACTAACCGATTGACCACATGCCAACAGTAGGAGGTATAGTATTAACTTAAGACAGATTGTCATCTTGACGATGGCGCCGCACTTGGCTCAAGTGGGTGCCCATGCCAGGAGGCAAATGGCACCACTCCAAGTCCAAGTCTCGCAAACTAGACCCACACGTGAAACCAATGACTGTGTTACGCCAAATGGTGCCCACCTCGTTGAATCTTCGAACGCGCGGATCAGCGCCGTGGCCGCCCGCTTCACGTTTGTCCTATGGTTTAAATCTCAAAGGTTCATACTTACTTGCATGCATTAAGCACAGTCGTACTGTTTCAAATGCAACACTTGGAGAGTGTTACTGCATCGCACAGTCGCAGCCAAGGCGTGGCCTCCGCGTGGGCCAATGGGGTTGCCACTGAGCACCACCTGGAATGGTGTCGTTTGGGGGCTCTGGTCTACAGTACTCGTCTTGGACGTACAGTACCTTGATCACCGACGCGTTGGTTCGAAGCGCTGACGCTAGCGCCATAGCTCCTGCGTCTCCAATCCGATTCGAATACGCCGACTTGTGGGCCGCCCACATGTCATTGCTGAGATCCAACACCCGCAACGCCTTGACATGCTGCGAAACGAAGTGGGTTAGGGCGTCGGATGAACATGGGGACCGTACGTTAATTGCCGAAGCCAACACGATGACCCCTGCTGTGCCAAGGCAGCACGAGACCAAGCTAAGTCGTTCGATCGTGTCGAAGCGTTGGAGAAGGTCCTAACCAACACACACATGTCGGTCCAAGCAAAGGAATACGGAGTCGCACAGCAATGGCATGAGCCCCAAAGTTAGTCACGGGCATGTCTTTTTTGGCCAGTACTTTGAGGGACCGGCCTTTGGTGGTGGAATCGTGGACATGCTCTGGCGGCGGAGGAAATTCAAACTGCTTTGGGCTTGTCGAGAACGTTTGATCCACCTACGGCGCATAGTACGAGTTATGTGCAATCAAGATGTCAGAACGATTGCATACAGGTTCTGCGCCTTCGGGAGTGTCTGTAGATGGGGACACAGAACTGCCGTGTATAGCTTGCGCGAACGCCAGTCCAAAGCGATCCTACCATAACGTGGGGTTACGAAGTCTATAGTAGAGAGACGCGACATATATACACACAATCATGCAATGGGAACGTGTAGTTACGCACGATGTCTCGGGCATCGAGTGCATGCTTCTCAAGAAAGAGCAGCTCGCCGAACCGACGTTCGAGGCCTAGGCTCGATTTCGATGGCTTGGTTGGCAAGTGGGACAGGATCACGGCTGTTAGTTTGCCGTCGTCGTGCAAACGCTCCACAATAGACACGTCGAACGCATGCAGAAGGGACTGACAAGTGCTGTCGCCCAAGCAGAGGTCCAAGAGTCGGGAGCTAACTCCTGTGAGCGTCTATCCTTGCATTGTCGTCGTTCCACGTACTTGTAGAACTGGAAGATGTGGCGGGCGACAGCTTCTAGACAAAGATGAGTCAATGAGGCCACCGCGGAGTCGGCCACGGGCGCGGACGTGGCGCCTTCCGGTGATGTCGTCGCCATCTTGGCTTTTGTTCTACGATCTTGAGGCATGGTGGCACAAAACATCCCACCACTTCAACGTGCCCTTACACATCCCACCACTTCAAAGTGCCCTTACGTATAATACACTATCGTAAACTAAAACAACTCACCAACGTAACCAACCAATCACAATCCCTTCATATTAACACTCATTACGACGCCGCAAACGTCCAGTGAGTGGGCCGCCGGCCGTCTTTTCGGAACGCGCGGTCCGAGCGTTGCAGTTTCTCCACTTGAAACTTTCGGTCTTGGGCTTCGTCCAAGTCGTAGGTGGCGAGGGCGCGGAGGTCGGGACGGTGTCGGCTGTCGGAGGGCAGGACTTGGTCGTCGGGCACGCGGACGAGCGGCGCGCACGCGTCGCGCTCAAAGCTCCAGAGGACGTGGTCGCCGGCGCGCAGTTCATCAAGCCACGACCCGGTCACGTCGCACACAGAGTCCCCATGCTGCATGATGGTACCGCGGAAGAAATCCGTGGGCGCCTTATTCGACGCAAACAGACCCTTGTGCTCGTCAAAGTTGAGCTTTAGGTCGCACACAAGGTCGTTGGCTTCGTCGCGAAACGTGATGGATCCCACCAAGTCCAGCACGCGGTCTCCCCACAAGAGTCCGCTCACGCGCATCGACGGCAGCGCCAGCTCGACCCGCCCGCCGTCCGGAAATGCTACGACCACGGGACCGTTCTGCATCTGCGTGAACGTGTTGGTGTGCATGGCGACGTTGACCACTGCGCGTGACCACACGGCGTACTTGGGGTGCACCACTTGGGCGTACGAGATGGGCAGCGGGCTGCTCGCCGCCTGCTCGCAGTGCACCGTGGCGCCGTCGACAAAGGCGGCCTGCAGCGTCTCCCCCACGATCGGGTTGAATGGTTTGGCGCAGCCCATGGCGTGGTGCCACCCCGCGACCGCGAACGCCATCGTCAGCTTGAAGCGCTCGACCGCGTCCGTGGCGTCGCTCGCGGCGCTCAAATAGTTGGGCGCGTACATGTAAAAGTCGACGAGGCGGTCCAGCATCGTGCGCGGCTCAAAGATGCGCACGGGCAGCGACAGACTCACGGCCGACTTGCCGTCCAGCAGTTTCGTGCCCATGGTCTTGATCACTTCCATCACGACGCCATTCTGCTTTTTCGCCACGTCCTTGTCGGTCAGGGTCACGCCGCCCGCGGGGTTGCGCACCACGGCCTGCATGTACTGGCGGGGGTGGAACCCAAGAGCAGATGGCCCGACGTGGGGGGGGTTCAGGGGAAGTATCGGCGCCAGTAGGTCGTTTCTGTCGGTTACATCGTCCTCTTCTTCGTCGATGACTGCAGTAGCGTCAATGTCGAACAGGTCGTCGTGGTATCCGCAGTGCGATCCTTGAGTTTGGGCGTGCTGGACAAACGATGCCAGCGCGGGAAGGCACTTCGACAGCCGATCGCGGGCCACGCGCTCGCTCACGGCGGCTGGCAGCCACCCGTTCAAGTTGACGTTGTCCACCACATGTGTCACCAGAGTGGCGTCGGTGCCCAGCGACTGGACTAGCCATCCGGATATGGACACCCTGCCGCGAATAGTGGACTGTGTCACTGGTTTGAGTTCGTTGACAACAGACAACTCGGCCACGACCATAGCGTCGTTGGTGGAAAGTGTGACAGAGTTGGCGCTGGATTGGGCTTCGAACACGTGGCGCAGCAGCAGCAGGTCCCGGCGCTGAACGGCGTGTCTCCACAACGTTTGGGGGGACACCGTGATCACGAGCAACGATCCGAGCAACGCGCCAACCACCGCGGCATTCGCAGCGTGCATCAGCGACTGACTCGACATGACCAAGGCGGCGACGGCGGCACAAGCCACGACGACCAACAGTGTCACATACTCCGCGGCGGGCATGAAAGGCACCGACGACGTCGACGCGAGATGGAGGAGGGCCGTGGCGCCGCCGTACGACGCGACGTGCGAGGCGAGTGGGAAGTGGACGTCCCATTCGGGTCGCTTTTGGGGGTCGAGGAGGAGGCGCAGTGCCAGGGCAGGCACGACGTCCAGGACAATGCTGCCGCGGAGGTAGGCCTTCCCTGTGACAGGGTCTGTGACGAAACCAATCCGCAAGTTGGGATGGTGCTGTACGTTGGACATGACATGGAAGCGCGAGTGCTGGAAGAGGAGTGTGCCGAGGAGCGCCTTGGCAACGGCGAGATCGTTCTCCAAGCGAAGGGTCGTGGATAAGTTGACTGGTTTGGATGTGACATGGGAGGTAGACTTGGACGGCTTGGATGAAGCGGTAGTGTTTGAGAGGACGTTGGACACGGAGACCGAGGCCGTGGGTCGGCGAAGGGACCCGCCGAAGGCGGTGTCGGTGGCCTTCAAGTCTGCGGGCACACTGTGGCTTTTTTGTCGGAGTGGTGCATTGATGTGTTCGGCTTTAGCGTCGCAGATGCGTTGAACGGCGCGTTGAAGAATGACGAGCCATTGCAGTACAGATGTGCTGTCCTCTCCAGACACACAGTACACCACACCACTGATGGTGTCCGTGACGTAAATGCGAGGCCCGTTCCATCGTTCGCTCGTTCCGCCGTCTTGCACCGTTGCTGTTTCCAGAGGGATGATCGCAGATGGAGTCTTGTCCAAGTTGGTGTGGAAGTAGCTCAACGTGCGGCCGTCGCACACAAACCACCGCTTCTTCCACCCTTTCAGGAGCTGCCCTTGCTTCTGCAAGTACCCTTCCTTCATGTAGCTCGGATCGTACCCTGGTCGGCTGGACAAGCAGCTCGCATGTTCCTAAGACCACAGCGGTAAGTGTCCACCAACCCATCTTGGCCGACAACTCTCACCCCGTCGATGCTTCGGTCACTCATGGACTTGCACACTGATGTGTTGTCGTCCGCTCTAAGATTTTGTGTTTGAAACACTGTTTAAAACAGTGCCATTGTACAATAGAAAGGACGACCGAAAGTCAAAAGCACAAACCTCATGTGGCATGCCGAGTCCTTCTCTTGCATCTGCAGCGGTGGACTGGCGAGCCTTGTACTGCTTCCACAACCATGTTGGAGAAAACTCCGTCTGTGATCTCCCTGTTGGAGTAGCGGCAAAGGCGGCGGAAAGGATGACACTTGCATTTACGTCATGGACAGCTTCAGTGTTCGTTGGCGGCGTGGCGTCGTGTGTGGAGAGGCCATCGCATTCGCGTTTCAATCGTGGGTCATATTCTCCCGTTCAGTGCCTCTTTGCGATGCAAAACAACACGATTACCTAAGCTTACGATAAACGAGGCGCCGCCATGACTGTCCCACGTGTGCTAACACTGAGCGATTCTGTACTATGCACAAAGTTCAATCGTACGTACAGCAAGTGAGCGAGCCCAGGTAATACTACTGTGATGTCATTCGTTCGTACCGTGCTATATATTCGCGTACTACTACGTGGACTCGTCTCCGATATGTACACACTAACCATCCCTCTCCACGGTCGACGGACACTTAGTGGCCCGATGCCGTACTACCATACGTCCAATGGTTCGGGCGGCGTCCCTCTTTTCGTTTGGTGCGGTCTGCGCGCTGCAGTTTTTCGAGCGTGAGTTTCCACTCTTGCGCTTCGTCAAGGTCATCTTGGCCGAGGAATTTCAGGTCTTGGCGGTTGCGGCTGTCGGATGGGAGGACCTTGTCGTCTGGCAGCCGCACGACGGGGGCACACCGGTCCGTTTGCAGGTTCCAGTACACGTGGTCCCCAAACCGAAGCTCTTCGAGCCACGACCCCGATACTTCGCACACGTCGTCCATCTTGGACACGAGCGTGCCGCGGAATCGATCCGTCGGCACCTTGTTGGACGCGAACATGCCCTTCTTCTCGTCCGGGTTGAGTTTGAGCTCGCAAGAGATGCCGTTGGCCTTGTCTTGAAAGTGAATCGACCCCACTAGCTCCACCACGCGGTCGCCCCAGAGGAACCCGCCCATGCGGATCGCAGGCAATGTGAACTCGATCACAGCGCCGTCGAGGAACGTTACGCGCACGGGCCCTTGCTGCACTTGCACGATGCAGTTGGTCTGCAAACTGCCGTTCAAGATCGAGTACGAGTGCACCTTGTACTTGGGCCCGACGATCTGCGCGTAGCTGATCGGTGGGTGGTGGCTTGCGTGCTCGCAGTGCACCGTGGCGCCGTCGACGAATTCGGCCTGCATCGTCTCGCCGAGAATAGGACTGAACGGCTTCATGCACCCCACCGTGTGGTGCCACCCCGCGACCGCGAACGCCATCGTCAGCTTGAAGCGCTCGACCATGTCGGTGGCGTCGTTAGCGGCGCTCAAATAGTTGGGCGCGTACAAGTACAGGTCGACGAGGCGGTCCAGCATTGTGCGCGGCTCAAAGATGCGCACGGGCAGCGACAGACTCACGGCCGACTTGCCGTCCAGCAGTTTCGTGCCCATGTTCTTGATCACTTCCATGAGCACGCCGTTCTGTTTCTTGGCGATGTCCTTGTCGGTGAGTTTCACACCCCCGGATGGGACCTGCACCACCATGCGAAAGTAATCGCGGGGATGGAACGCCGCCGCGGGATTGCCGTCGTCGCCCCGCATGCCTAGCGCCGCGGACGACCGCCCCCCCAAGATGTTGCTGCTGCTGCCGCTGTTGTTCGCTCCCAGCAGAACCTCGTCGTTGTAGTCGTCGTCGTCGTCGTAGCCCAAGGTCGGCCCAAGGACTTTGGCCTGCGACACGAACGCCGAGATGGCTGCCAAGCATCGCATCCGTCGCGCGTGAATCGCGCGGTGGACGTAGGACGGAATCCATCCCTTCACGTTCAGGTCTGTTACGTACGTGACGAGGGTCGATTCGGTGTCGAGAGGCTCCACTAACCACCCGCTGACCCCAATGTGTGCGCGCACGACCCCCCTCACCACCGGCTTGAGTTCGTTGGCTACGGACATTTCGGCAATGATCATTGCGTTCGCCCCGCTCGACACCCCCACGGCATCCAGCAAGTGCTGGCACGACGACCGGTCGGTCATCGACGACGACGACAACGTCATCGCTTCGTACACATGCCGAAGGAGGAGCAAGTCGCGCGGACAGGCGAGCGGCCGCCAGTCGACCGATGCGGCGACCCCGGCGACTACCGCGCCGGCGGCAGCATGTACCAGCCAGTCAGACGGCGCCAGTACGCCAGACACGATAGCGGCGGCCGCGGCGGGCAGCACGGGCGACGACGCACTGGCCAAGAGCGGTCCATCAAAGAACCCCGACTCATCTCCGCCGCAGAGGTGGATGAGGTCCGTGGAGCCCCCATACGTAGCTACATGCGTCGAGTGCGGGAACAAACTGTCCCATTCGTGGCGCCTGTGGTGGTCCAGCAGGATGCGCAGGGCGAGCGATGGCGCCACCGGAAGGATTGAACTCCCTCGGGCGTAGTGCTTCCCCGTGGTCGGGTCCACGGCCGAGCTGATGCGGACCCCATCGACGACGCCATCGTAATGGAATTGAATGGGCGAGGACGTGTGATCTGAGGTAGTAGTCTTGTTGAAGAGCAGACAGTTGAGCAGCTCGGACGCCGTCGATAGCTCGTTCTCGAGTCGGATCGTGGTCGGGAGGTGAGTGCCGCCGGGCTTCGACGATATAAACGGCGATGCCGCATGATCAGACGACCCGCGGGGTTTCGTAGCATTGATGTCAGAGAAGGACGAGGCAAGCAGCGCCTTCCGCGTGGGAGATTTGTCGGACATGATCGGTTTCTGACGCCCCTCTTCTTCGTCGAATGGGGTGATGTGGCTCTTGCTGCGAGGCACGACGCCGATAGGTTGACTCAGCTCACGTTTCTCATGAATGCGCTTGACAGCACGGTCCAACACGTCGAGCCATTGCGACACAACATCGCCTTCGTCCCCAGACAAACAGTACATGGTGCCGCTGGTACCGTCGGTGAGGTAGATGCGCGGAGAGTTCCAAGTCTCGCTCGTTCCCCCATCCTGGACAGTCGCCGACTCGAGAGGGATCACGGCATTCGGCTTCTTTTCCAGCTTTGTGCTGTAATAGCTGAGAGACCGGCCGTCACAGACAAACCACCGCTTCTTCCATCCCTTGAGCAGCTGCCCTTTCTTCTGCAGATACCCTTCCTTCATGAACGTGGCATCATAGCCTGGCCGACTGCATATGCTGTGGTGGTCCTAGGATAGTCTCGTGGTATCATCATCTACGTCCAAGTCAAGAGCTCACCTCGTCGCGATCTCCCATCGTCGTAGCCCTTTCACCTGCGGCAATAACTGCGGCTTGGGAAGGCCGAAACGACTGTAGTGTTTAAAACGTGTTTCAAATGTATTTTTTCATTTTAATCGGGCGAAGAAATGCATTCGAAACGTCCAGGAGGACCATTTCCATTAAGTTATTGGTGCTATGACGATGGCTTTTCTTTCCACCACGAGAGACTACCTGACATGGATTCATCTCGTGTAGCTTCCGAGTCGGACACGCTCAGGGACGAGAACGTATACGAGAGTGGCGTCACCATCGAAAGCTTGCCCGCCTTGTCTCCCGCTTGCGCATGGGCCTTCATCAACGTGTCCATGTCCACTTGTCCATCTTCGAGCAGCGGAATGTGCCTCGGCATTGTCATAAACTGCTGGGACAGGGTCATGAACTGCTGGGTGTCGAGAAATGTCAAGTCCGCGTCGTCCCCCGCCCGCCGTGAATCCAACAGAGGAAACAGCGACTTTTTCTTGCAATCCAGGGTAAGCGACATGGCAGTGTCGTCCTTATCGGACTCCACTCGTGTGGGAGACTGCAGGAAGAGAAAGGCCGCGATGCCGACCGCACACACGGACACGCCGATGATGTAGCCGATGTGCATGGTCGTTAGGCCTTCCGGGGGCATGGACGTTTCTCGAACCATGATGCTGGAGACGTTGCTGGCGTTCGATGGGCCCCGCAGCGACATGTTGTGACGGATGGATGTGGCGCAGTCGACTTGGTGCGTCGAGCATTGGCCACTGGACTCCTTTTCCATGCATGCATAGCCTTCGTTTCCAAAGTCCATCAGACATGGCGGACACTGTTCGTCTTGCCGCCAACATTGTGTCGGCGGCGAGGTGGACAAGGCGCAGACACGAACGATACGGCAGATGACGCCATGCGTGGCTGCTCCTGTATGGCTCTTGTGGTCGTGCCTTGAAGTTGCTGCAGCAACCGCGATGAAGAGGGTGAGCCATCGCATTCCACTACTTATCTTTGTTGAATGAAGAGTCGGTGCCAGACGCTCAGACAGTCGTGCGCACTCTACTGACACAACAGCAAGAGCAAGCAAGACCTGCGAATAGGCCGCTCCTCCTCCGCCAGATGGCTTCAATGCACCAGTTCAAAATAGCTCAAGACATTGTAACATTGCCTTTTCGAACCGAGAAACATGGGAACGACATCGTCTTTTTCGACCGAGAGTGTTTATTTCGACACCAGTGTAACAGTAAATTATAAATACTTGAAGTAAACATTTAGAACTAACTGGCTTCTAAACCTTGGCCTCCACCACATCATCGTCGAAGCCGCCGACGCTAATTGTTGACACGCGATCGCCATGTTCTTCGGAGTCGCGCAAGGATACTTCGCTCACGAAGGACAGGTTCGTGCTCCACACGCCACCTTCATATTGAGTAAATGAATTGGTCGATCGCTGCAGCCTCAGCTCGTCGCCGATAATATCTCCGGATTCCGCTTCATCGTCAGAGTTCAGGCAAGACCGCGTGTGGTGTGGTTGGGTTGACACTGGCGGTTGCAGCATGATCATCGGTGGCTGAGTCGGTGGCACCACAGTGGCTGGATCTGGCCCGTGATGATGATGACGTCTACCGGTACTCAAGTACACCAAATCGACGTCTTCAAGCAGCACAACATCGTGGTAGCTATGGCGGGGTTTCGCAGAGGCGAGATGTGCATGGTCGTTGGTGAGGACGTTACTAGGTCGAACGTCCCAGTGACCATTCTCCTCTGGTACAAACAAGTACGAAGTGTGTTGCATGCCATTGATTTCTTCCATCATAGAAACTTCGTCAGTCAACATGCCAGGCGTCATGGTATCCCAAACTTTCGTGTGTAGGTGGTGGTCGTTGTGCCGTTGCATTGGTTTGCGTCGACAGCACAGCATGAGAATAAGGACCACCAGGGCCAAGAAAGCGATGCCAATGCCGACGACCACCGCCGTGTTTCTTGCTGCACCCAACGCGTCGGAGGATTTGGGTGTAGTGGTGGCGGCGTCGAAGTCCATTTGTAGAGCCAATTGAGCAATGTGAATTCTGTTCTTGAACATCCAACCACATCCACGTCCACCGTATGCTTCCACGCTGCCCTCATACTACTTACTATTCATACTATGTAGTAGTATGCTAGTATTATAGTAACCCATCGTCATCACTGATGCTTGAAATAAACCGTACGTTCTTTCGACTCGTCCCGAGGTAAAATGCCAGGATACACTTTAACTAGTAGGTTGTATGGCCACGTTAATATCAACCGTATTGTATTACTCGAAGCTCCTAACGTTATGCATACATTTTAATAGTTTGTAGGGCTGACTGTGAATCCAAAGATGCCTTACACACCATCATGCGTGTCAACATTGATCACATTTCCATATCTGAACATTGTTCTTTAGGCCTCCGTCATTGGACTCTACCGAAGTCAATTCAACTTGAACATGTAACGTTATGCTTAATTTACTACTACTTGTAGTGTATGTACTTCACCAACACATACTGGGTAGCTAGCTTCCTTGCATTCGCACAGGATTTTGCCGCAGGAATAAATAATCATTAACCAGAAAAAGCATGGTAAAATAAGCAATTTTGTACTACGTAGTATGGAGCATGCCATAAATAATTCTGAAATTGTACAGTTTCAATTAAATATATCTTCAAGTTTGTATTGATGATTTCTATTTTTTCTCTTTTTGGAATTCGCAAGACTTCAACGTGAACACAAACCTCCATAAAAAAGTTGGACCAAATCGGTCAATTTTTTTTATGCCATAAAACACTCGATTCTCAAGAAAATTGTGGCATAAAGTACTAGTAATAAACTTTGGTGGCATCCAGACGTACAAAATCTCGAAAAATGGAATATTTCGATTTTGCCAACTTTTCTTGGGAAAACGGCCATTTTATGCCATTTTTCGTGGCATCCAGACCCGCCCATTATCAATCAATATTGACTGTGAATCACGCTGGTTTTCTGATTGGTTGAATGTCCTTGAGCTTTATGTGAGAGCCAATCAAATTTTCTCATTTTTTTTATTAGCCAATAGTGTCGATTCGATTCGATGGGGTCTGGAAATTCGTATCGAATCCACAATACTCCTAGTAGAATCAAACATCCAATCAAACGTACGCATACTACAATAGTAACAGTTATAGAAAAATCGCGCTAACGTTAACGATACAGTATTCATAGTATTGGAAAAATCATTAACCAGAAAAAGCAAGGTGAAATAAGCAATTTTGTATGGAGCATTCCATAAATAGTTCTGAAATTGTATAGTTTCAATTAAATATATCTTCACGTTTGTATTGATGATTTTTATTTTTCATGTGTCTGTCTCTTTTTGGAATTCGCAAGGCAGGTCACCTTGCGAATTCAAAATTGTCCAATTTTGTCCAATCAGATGCGGTGAAATCACGAAAATCGCTGCGTAGATTCATCACGCCCTATTCCTGTGATGACGGTTGATGCAAGGAGCCTTGAGATAATTGTAGGCTGTGTATGAGAGCAAGATCATGTGATGTGGTATTCAGGACTCGGTCAATTCTAACAGGTCTCCTTTCACCACTTGCCTACTAACCCAATGAAATTGGTCATCCCTC